CGCGTAATTTTATCTGTATTAACCTCTTTGTCCGTGTTGACATATTTTTATGCGATTAGCCTTTTAGCAATAAACTTTCTCGCACAACAAAGTATTTTTGAGACTTTTTCTATTATTCTTTCTGTTTTTTTCTTTTTTATAACTGCTAAAACTACGCGGTATCTTTATTATTCGATTAAAACGAACGTTCGACAACCGATCGTTCTATAGCAATACATAGTGCTTAAATAATATTTTATGTTTCTCCATGGAAATTTTCATTGCTGAAACTGCGTATTTTCTTACAAGCGGAAGACCAACGGTGAATGGCGCCTCAAAGATACTACAATCGCGCTCTTTTATTTCTTTTTTTCGCGATATCATTACGCTCAAAAATCGAGATTATCTTTTCAAAACATAGCATTCTAAAAGTTAATGCGAAGCATGATTATAAGAATCGTTCTTTTCAAAAAAGTAAACATGAAATTGAAATAAAAAGTGTTCAAATCGACAGTTTGAAGAATAATATAAGAAATCAGAAGAAGGTATTGGTACTACACTATGTAAATGAAATTTGCAAAATGATATAAAGAATTCAGTAATCAAAAGTAGAATAGACATTTTGATAATAAGAAAAAAATTGTCCTACTGAAAGATACCTAAAAATAATTTGACACTCAGACGGTCAGCAGTGCGTGTTTGCGCAGACATAACAAAAATGAAGAAGCCAGAGTTTGGCAATTAGGAATGAACGATCTTCGAACATATTGAGTACCCGGATGATGTAAAACCGGCTAACTATCACGACATTGGTTTGCTAAAATTAGAAAATCCATTCGAACTGAATGGATGTATAAGATCTGCAAAAAATCATTCGTTGCGAGTGGTTTCGGCAAGACCTCTTGGAGTTAATAAAAGATACAAATATAAATATAGATAAAAGATAACACAGCTTCTGATTATACGTCTATGAAGGTTGTTACAACGATTTAATTATGAATACTGTTAGCGCCATATAGCGCACATAATAATTCATCACGTAGTAAACACTTCTTCACGTTTCGACTACTTATGTAACTATTTACAATTAATCTCTGCAATTGTGTTGCACAAATTCCGTAATCTAATTTTTTAATTACACTAGTTTCACAGAAAAATGGTTTTTTAAGCTCAATGTTGTTGGAATGTAGTAAATCATCATGTAATAAATCAATATCAAGTTCTGATTAAATAGTGTGTTACATTATGAAGATGCATATCCCATTCAAACTTGATTTTATACTTTTATGATACAGATGACTCAAATAGTACATTATTTTGTCGATTATCATATGACTAGAGGCTTGCAATAAATTAATACTATTTCGACTTATAGCGCCAGTGACTGATCTGAGTTTATATATTTTGATAGCATTGCAAATTTTGACTTTGCAGAAATTATATACTTGATACTCGGCAACTTTTCCATGAATCCCTTTTAAATTCATTCTTACTGGAATGATGATACACCATAATAACGATTCAACATATGGATAAATTTCATTTGATAGAAGATAGTTTCATCAACAGAACCTTAATCTCGTAACTCTACACTATAAGCAGCAATCGACTGCAAACTTAAAATGCTGACATACTTTTAAGCAACTTTCGCAACAATGGCTTCATTGCAATTCACCTTGTCGTAATCCGTTCGATTTAATGAATACTTTAAACGAATGAATTAGAAATAATGATGTCTCATCTGAATCATTTTAAATATTTCTGCACCGCTGCTTACAAGCTGCTTTGGAATTCCCTTCTTTTATAGCGAGATGCAAAAGTGTGTTTTGACATTCATATGCGTTGGTATTTATCATTTCCGGTTCTAAAATCCTCTTCGATCTTTACAAGTGACTAGAAATGTCTAGAATTACATTTTTAACATTTCTCAACTCGAAATCTTTAAATAAACTAGACCTGCAGGTAGACTTTTTTCTATCCAAAGATTAATATCAATTATCAGTTCGATAGTAATTTTAGTAATTTTAAGAATATAGAAGTGACGCGTGCGGTTTTCTTTGTGATAGAAAAACAAAAATGATACAATTTCATTATTAACTTAAAATGTTGACTTTTTTTATATGTGAATTGAATTATTGACTCATACTTTAAAATAAATGTAGCATCAACTGAGCATTGTAAAACAAAATTATATCTAAAGTTAAGTGTATAAATTAGTCCTACCCTATATCAAAATTATCCACATTTCAAAGTTTTCTATCTCCGGCTATAATGGACGTAGAAAAACTCACGAGAGCTCATTTTAAAGAATAAATCAATACCTTTCATATTCTGTTGGTTTATTTTTAAATTGAAAATTGCGTTTTTTACATTAAAAAACTAAAGCATTTATTTTATTTTTTACCCCTCGTAAAAAACACCTTTTAACTTTTGAACGATTAAGTCAATTTTTTTTTAATAAGATAGAATAGATGCGTATTTGTCTCCTTTTTAAAATGAGCCTGACAGGATCCATTTTTATCGAGACAATAAAAAGTTACACTCATTTTTGATAAAAAAATTCACTTTTTTTAGTTTGATTATCTTCGAACATATGCGCTAAGGAAAAAAACTCCAAAGGGAAAAAATGTTTGCTTTTGCATGTAGAATAAATATTTACTAAAAAAATTAAGTTTTGAAAAAATTAAATTTTTTCATTTTTTATCAGATTCGTATGATATATTCACATCCAACATTTTTAGTTTTATGACCACTTTTGACTTGTTCTAGAGACTACAGTAATATTTAGAATTACGTTGAACGTGCAAACGTTTCGTTTCTTAATCTTCAAAACATATTAGACTTGCAGGTGAATTCTCAATTTCTATGAAATTTCGTCGTAGTTCATTAACTATCTCGAATTACATTTTTTAATCTATGTTTTTTTGCAACTATAATGTATAATAATACAAAAAGAAAACAATAGAAATCTTTAAATAATATAAATAAAATAGTTTTCATTATAAAGTAAACGGGCTGAGAAATTGTTCTATATTAACTATATTTTAACTTTTTAAAATAAGTACAATACTAAATAAACATTGCAAAAAAAATATGAATATTACGAACTATGACAATATTAAGTACTATCTTATTAAAATATACTGCTTACTGGTAGCTAATGGTGACTAATTTAACAGAGCTTAAAAAAATGTATTCTACCATTATGACAATTACTAACTACAACTATAGTGTAATTACTGCGTTGTATACAAAAATATTTATGAGTACACTAGGAGTTATATACACTACAGCTTATAACAGCTGTGACCAATAAGGTAGAGGTCATACACCTGACTGAGAATATAGGTGTGGCCATTGAATGTGTCCTCTTCATAATGTAATAGTGACACATTGAGTACACGTACGTCACAGTTTTTGAATGTAACCTGGGTATTATACACTCGATAGCTGGCTTTCTAAAACTATAAACGGTTTGACGTTGGGCTATAGTAGCATAAGATTTATTTTTTTCGACTCATTTTATAATTGTATAGCTGATCGCTGATTCTGCATCACATTTCAAGGCTATAACAAAGCCTCGAAATAACTGGGACAGTAAATAACTTGCAGGAGACACCAAGTAAACGTGTTACTCTGTAAATCTGTGTATAATAAAATAGATAGAATAAATAATTTACAAGATTGCATTGTCTTTATTTATTACCTATTTTATTGAAATAATTATCTGCAAATCAAAAGTAAATGTTTATTTTTTATATAAAACGGTTTAGCTAACAATAAAATCACAATAAAATAAAATCTTGATAATTGATAATTTTATTCAACTTCGTGAAACTTATAAAAATTAGATTGACGATTTTAATAAACTATTATATAAAAATGAATTATAGACAGGTGTTAGCCGGGGTTCTATTATGTAATAAGTTTTTGCTCAGGTTTCGCATTAAATATCTTTGAATATCGAACATCCAAACCTACTTTTACATTTTTAAGGGTTTTGTATGCCAATTTCTTTCTAGGCTTTCCATCCTTTCTGCAACTGTCTACTTCCTCTCGTTAGCTGATTGAACGTGATCTATTTCTTTTCTTTCTTGACAACATTGTTGTTTTCTTTGTTTCAACTGGAAGTTTTCAATATTTATTAAGGTCTCATAATATTTATAATTATTTATTTATAATTATCAGCAAATCTATTAAAATTGATATAAAAGAAATAGAATAAGAATATACGAATTTCCATCATGTTTTATATAAGTGAAGTTAAGCATAATTACAAATCTATTCATAAATAAGTGGAATCAGTTAGTTTTCTGATATATAATCGTGTCGTTTTCTAACAAAATTTATTTTATATCCTTTTCAATTATATTAACTTCCGTATCGATATATTGTTTTGATATTATTCTTATCGATTTTCAAATTCAATTTCAAATCTTAACTTCCTTTTATTTAACACTTACACTAACATTACCAAATTAATACGAGATTTACAATCTATATGGTTATTTTCTAACTAATTGAAATAATTATTGATAGTGTCAACTAAATTTTAATCTAAACATCCATATTTAGATAGAATTTAGCGCGACTACCTCAGTTATGAAATTTATGAAACTCTATACTAGAAGTATAGAGTTTAGATGGGTAGTAAGTGTCTATGGCGATAAAATGCATCGTCACCAAGACATTTTTGAAAGGTTTTGAACTCGAGCTATAGTTACATAAAAAGAAAGGTTTTGAACATATATTGACAATTAGTCATCTTGAAGAAAGTATTTCATTTATTCTATTTGAACAAAAGAAATGAATATTTATTTTATTAATTATATAAAATTCATAATAGCTGAACATAACCACTTTTTAAACGAATCTGTTAATTTTGAAGTAATGAATTTTTATGAAAAAGTTAAATAATTATTGGTAGTTCATGCTATGTTTCAGTACATTTAATTTTTTTATTCATTAAATAATTTAAATTAATTATTCATCAACTGATATATACAAGCAATGATATATAAATAAAAAATGACAGGAAATTATTTCCAAGAATACTTATATTTTATTTGTTGACTACAATGTGTATGATAATATACATCGAGATACATTAAAATTTTCCGCTAGAACTACGATGATCCGTTATATATCTACAAAATATTATCGGTTAGCATAATTACATGATGTAAATTACACTCAGCGACCGAAGGCAATTTAATTACATTTCGGCGATCCCATATGTTTGTGAAATTCGTATTATTACAGCAACTGAGAGGATAAAATTAATATGATAACCAAAGCGTATTATTTCTTAACTACTAAATAAAGACTCCGCCTCCTGACATTACATATTATTGTTCGCTTTTCCTCCTCCACTTGAATCAAAAAAATATATCTACAATTGCCAATATACATATACACACATGCTTTCTCAGAAAAAACACACATGAGCATCACAAATATTCCTTCAGTCATCAGTCATACACGTACTTAAATCTAAATAAAATCTTTCAAAAAATCGATGTCCTCACCTCTGTCCTTATCCGTTTGTCGCATAAAATGTATACAAATATATAACGATTAATTTCGCACATTTTTTTCGCGTTTCCTCTCATCGATACAAGAGTTCGTTTTCTTATGTTTGTTTTATTAAACAATTTATTACAGTAATATTGTATATATTTCCATTTTTTTGTCATTTTTTCCTTTTTTTTTTGTTAAACTGTAAAATCGCTTGGCTTATAACTCGATCTTATACTCGATATTCGTATTTATCGGCTTCGTCGCCAAAGCCGTTTTACAATAATAGAATTTGTTTCAATATCTTGACAACAACGTTATTTTTTTTGATATAACGCATTTATAAAAAAATATGCGGCGAAGGTTTTTATATTCATTAAGTCGACGGATAATGAATTTCATATGTCAACATTCAATAATTATCATCGTTCTAACGATATAACTAACAATTAATTGACAAGTGAGCAGCGTGCACATATATAATATACGTCAGTTTATAGCGTAATCTAACAGAAAATCTACATGAGTATACGTGTACAAATAGTAAAAACCGTTCGCCGTCACATTTGCGTTTTTTTTTTTCACTTCTAAATATTTTTTCCTCAACATATGTATATATATTTTTTCCATTAAAAATCAGTCTTAACAATCTTCTATTCGAATAACTCTAAAAACTCATTCATTCGTCATGAACGTAGAAATATACTTTATCACGTTGCGCATCGTACGTGTAACGTAAGGTTGCATAGTATGTATACTAGTTAAATTACAAGAGGACAAATAAGTACTCAGAATTACTCGAGTCGAAAGATCATTAAAACGTTGCTGATTTCTTCTATATTGTTAAAAGCTAAAAGAAAAAATTAGTTTTTTTAACTCGTGTATCAGGTAAGAATCCAGTTTTACGCACATCAATTAAAATTAGTAATAATAGTAACAACAAATATCAATAATATAATAATAATAATAATAATAATAATAATAATAATGTGAGGGATTGGTTTCAATGAGTATAACTAAAAAGAAAATAATAATGGGAGAAGGACAAGAAGCGGCCTTTAACACATTTCGAAAAGTCGACAAAATCCCGTATTGTCCGTAAACGTTAGCTCTCAAGTTGGTTTTCTTCGTAGATCAAAAAATAAATTAAAAATCGATTAAATATTATCAGTCTTACTGCGGATAACATACGCGAGTGTGAAATGCGGCTGCTTCGTGTCCTTTTCCTGTAACTCGTCACTTCGTACTATCACCACGTGAATACAAGGATTTTCGGGACAGGATGTGGGGAGGGGAGAGAATTTGCAAGTTCTCTGTATCACGTGAGAGCTACGACTGTTCGAAAGGTTTCCTCGTCGATTTTTTCTTAATTCCGTATCAGTCTCATCTCCGTTCAGTTTTTCTTTCATCTACATCTTCCAACTTCCAGGTTTTGTTCGATGTTGTATTCTTTCGTGTCTTTCGCCATCATAGCTTGCAACTAAAGCGTTCAGGATCTTTTTTATATCGTCAATGATGTCGGCGATGGTGGACTGTCGGGGCTGAGAAAGCGACAGTGGTAACAGCAGCAGACAACCGGCGGAGGCTTCTCGTAATTTTTCGTGACCTGCCGAACACAAGATAACAAAATCACGTTATCATCACGTCCTTCGTTTCTTCTTCTGAGATTTGGAGCGAACTTAGATTACTATTTTTTACGCTATTTATAAATTTAGAATATTATTGTGAATAGAGAGTTTTATTTTGGCTAGTGGTATTATGGCGCTGATATAAGTGTATTTATAGTATGACAAGTATGATAGGTAATGATATGAAGAGGCTGTTCTCACAAATTAAGTGGAATAGAAGATATACTCACGTTAATTTAGTGAGTAATTCAAAACATATCAACTTTCTTTTTTAATTAAGTCTAAAATTTATTAATCAAAATTAACTTTGCCGTCACAGTTAACTTATTAACAGAGCTTTCAATATTTTGTTACGCGTACGGTTATTTGAAATTTTACAAAGCAGACATCTAAATAGCCTATTAAATATTATCTGTGGTGGCTAATAAATGCTTTATTAACAAATTAACGTTAATAAAAGTAAATTTAGGTGAGTCAGCATTTTGACTGGACACTAATGCAAATGTAACAAAAGATACTTTATTAAAAAATATTAAAAAATAAATATTATTTAATTTACAATTCACCATTATTTATTACAGTAATTGCATTAGTCTAATCATCACCTACAATCAGCAATAATTCATACAATAAGATTTTCATTATATTTAATTACGATTATGACAGTGATAATAATTTCATACGATATATACACATTACATTGCGAAAAAGCGTAGGAAAGAGATAAAATTCGCACGAATACTACAGATTCGTCAGGTTGCATTAAATCAGCGTTCGTACTCACACAAAAAAACATTAATTAATGTCTTTATCGACATCATGAGTTATTGAAAAAACGGTAGCGTTCTACAGAAGGCTGTATGGAAATCGCGTGTTTACATGAATACGATACGAGTAAAAATCATGCAAGTATACCGCGATATCGCACAATAGATACAATGCATCACCCGACTCTGGAGACCGATTGTATACTTAATCACGTCAGCGTATAGAAATACGCCACCAACGCTAAATGTACGCAATTCGCATCAAAGAAAAAAACAGAGAAAAAGAAAAGAAGCATGTACAGAATATGTCACGTTAGCGTAAGTAAAAGAAGTAGATTGGTAAGCAGTACAGCAATTATTCAAGCTTATTGTTTTAGTAGTTCAGGACGTACAGTATAAGTTTTCTCACCGAAGCATCGAGTTGTCATCCGTCGGCACATCGCAGTCCGTCGTAGCATGAGCGATCTATAATGCAGGGAGACAATCGAGCATCAAACTCGCAACTACGCCGGAAGCTCTTTCTTTCTCTCCACTATCTTTTTTTTTTTGTCTCGCTAGGAGCTCGCAGCTAGCCGCACTCGCTATTCCTCGTCTATAACTCAGACTTGCAGCACACGCTCTCGTTCGCTCTCTAAAGACATCGCTCGCACAACGCCGTAGTTTTCCAATGACGCTTGGCTACAATCTGCGACGTATCAAACACGACCCTGACTTGGAGAAAATCCTAAATGGGGAGGAGAGATGTGATGGACGGATGAAAGACAACAGCAATGACGACGACGACGACCAAGTCGATAGCGATTTTGTTTTTGATGACGACGACGACGACGACGACGACGACGACGACGACGACGACGACGACGACGACGACGACGAGACAGATAAAGTGAGATGTTGATGTTGAGGTGGACGGATAACGCGTCACCAATAAGGTCCCTCGGTATCGAGGTGTTGCCACGAAGCGAACTCGCTCCAGGTGCGTAGATGCACCCTGGTCGCTTCGTTCGCTGGTAAGATCTCCTTGTCGTTGTTGCGTCTCGACGGAGTCTGCATGAAGCCATTGTGCGTAGCCATTGGGCCGCAGCAGGCGCTCAACAGTTCGGCCACTTGCTCCTCTAGCGTCACCTGCGTCAACAACAAAACGAAAACAAAACATGCGGCGTTACGTCCCAGCATCTCTTTTTGCATATCTGTCGGTTTTGGGGTAGGACGAATACAATTTTACAAGACCGTGTGCAGAAAGCAAGAAGTGTGCTGTCGGTTGCTCTTTGTGACCTAAACTTTACCTCGTAAATACGCGCTGTTAACGTGCCGTCGGGTTTTTCTCATTTTACAGCCTCGATATCGTTTAGAATATATCTCACTCATACGATGTATATCTCGCATCTTTGTGTGTTATCGATGGTGCGCGATGAAATGACGGGATTTGTAGCATGCGTGCGTGCGTATGTGCGTCTGTGTGCGCGTGTGTGCGTGATATACGACGGGGTTCGATGATCGATGTCTCTTAATGTATTTCTACGCGAGTACGTGACTGGGCGAGCAGCGCGTGTGATTGGTAGTTTGAACGAACATAAAAATTCATAATGTACGTTGAGCCAATGGGCGCGTCCAAAACATAGCAGATTAGGAAGACTTTGTAGTGAGAAAGTTTAAAAACCAAGTTCAACGGGCGATCGACGATAATAGGCATGAAAAAAAAGTGACGAGAGAGAATGGAATCAATCTGAAAGCGAATAACGTCCGTGGTGGCGAGCCATAAGAGCAATGATGCACTAAGGCGCTCGTGGCTCGGACGATTTGACAAGATGTCGACAATAGTGAGGTTTGTGGTTGCTCACTTCTCGTTTCTTCATGACGATGTAATTGGCGCCTCCGTTATTGTCCCAGAACTCCTGGCCGCAGGTCTGGTAGCGCACGCAGAACTCCACTTGGCGGGAGTCCTTCGGCAGGGGGATGCGGAAGCGAAAGGTGTCATAGAGGTTGCGCACTGCCGTTTGGACGGCGGCCAAGCCGGGCTGCTCGACGTACGAGCAGGCGATGTCCTGCTGAGTGGCCCAGTTGTCGCTGGTGACGCGCATCGTCACCTCCTTGTCGTAAGTGATGTTCTTGACCTTAACCGTGCCAATGAGGCAGCCCTCGGCCTCGCGCACGATCACGTTCTCCAGACTCACGGCGTTCTTGTCCAGCTTGTTACGAAAGGCCAAGTAGTCGCTGGCTGGCTGGGCGAAGCTCGGCTCCCACGGAGCTACCTCCGCTAGTTTGGCGGCTGCGGCTTTCTTCTCCGCCGACTCCTCGTCGCTCTCCGAGGAGCCGCTTTGGGAGATGCTGAGGCTACCGTCCAAGTTGCGGAACAGCTCGCCGCGCGCCAAGCTTGCCACGTACGCGCTGGACCATAGGGGTGGCATGTTGCTCGGCTCCGACATGACCCGCACCTGTTAAAATCGTCAACAAACCAGCACGCCTTCGTTACTACATCGAATTCTCAATACTCGTCTTCGGCTTATCGTCCTCGTTAACAGTTTTTTCAAGCAGATATGTCAATTTATTTATTAGCACCGCTCGCACAGTCTTTTATCGGCCCGATAACAGATTGACGTGCTCGCTGTTTATTCGAGTCGTGACAGATAACCAAGTGCTCTTCTTAATTGTTAATTTTTCATCTTAAGCGAGTCTTGATGCGCCAAATGCCGCTCGCGAACAGGTCAGAACGATCGCCGTACAAAAAATTATAAATATTTTTCTCCAAACCAATCGCTTTTTTTCCACTTGAAAATGAATTCAAGATTAGCAAATCAAAAATAATGACTAGCTAAACTCAGGCTAATTCGCAGCACAGATTGTACGTCGCTGCAAATATGCAATCATTTGACACGGCTCTATATCGTACGATGCGAATGATGTCAGCGCAGGCATTTTCATCAATCAAGATTTACGTGATATAACGCTCTTTCAACTACGAGATAGGAACAAAAAAAATAAGAAAAACGCTGTCGCTATTGCATACGGATTAAGCAATACTGTCATCGTACTTTTTTAAATTTAGAAAGAAGCACTCGCGATTAACTATCAGTACACGACCGATACGTGTAAATTTATGTTTCCCCGAGTGAGAAGCTCGCTGGCGATTTAAAATGGACACTGCGCGTATCAATGTAATTACTAGTGTACTAATGGGAACGTGGTGCGTGCAAAAAGACTCCGCTAAATGAGCTTTAATTAATTACAGTTTGCGCATCAATCGCGCGCGAGGAAGATAATCGACGAGTGCAGGCTTTTGCCTCTCGAGCTTTTTATATTTTGCGCTCGCAGCTGCATTGTCACTCGGCTCGACAAAAGAACCACCGAGAGCAGCGCGCGTCGGATACGAACCTGCGTGAGCGGCCTGCCACGGTCGTCGGCGAAGACGACCCTCTTCTTGTTCCTCTTGATGCAGGCATCGTCGCCGCCGTTGAGCAGGCCGAGGTGCAGGGAGTGGCTGCTCGTCAGACACGGCCTGATCTGCGGTGGCACGGACCTGTTGCTGATGGGCGGCGTCGTAACCATCAGGGAGCTGTAGAGCAGCGAGCCGTACACCGGGGGACTGTGTCCCAACAGAAGCTCCGACGGTATTGCTATGGAACACATCTAGCTCTACGAGACAAACCAACAAAAGTCCTATCAGTATTGCTGGTCCTTCGAACGACGTGCAGCGACGAGAAGTTTTCGCAATTTTTTCGACCCGACAACCGCCGCCTCAATAGCCCATCCAAATTAATCAATGCGAAGCTCGTAACAATTGGTCGCTGTTGTGTTACGTCGCTCTTAACAGCATGATTGCTTGAATTTCATCTGCTTAGCTCGACCCTTTCGGGGCCACGCAGTGCACGTACGTCGTGACACGAATAACCTCGAGAAAGCCCGCTGCCGCCTGGATGTCTGTGCGAGTGATCGATCAGTAGCCTTATCATTACCATCGCCGAGTAGCTGCCAAATTAATCCTGAGATGCAATATCTCGGCGGGTTTTCTTAGAACACGACAACTTACGAAAACGTTTCGCTTGACCATCAATGAGATTCATTTCGAAAATTTTCCACGAGCACGTATTTGTATCTTACTGTTATTTTTAGATGCGCTTATGCCAGGCTGTTTATCTCAAATGAGAGATGACACTGCATTTTCTGACTTTTGTTTGAGGACAAATAAATCTTTCGGACGTTCTTAAAAAAGCAAATCCGAAAAATTTATCAATCTACTGTGAAGTCATTTGGCAATTTGCAAAGTCAACGAATGATAATAAATTTTCACGCGATGCGCGAAAGATCACAGTAAGCCACGAATTTGTTATTGCGGTTTCGACAATTAAGAACGGCGAGCTCGAATAGTGAGATGATGATGATTGATTGGCACACACGTGTGCATGCATAGATTTGATAAAATTTTTATTTAACTTTAACGTCTTTAGATTGCTGATATCGAACAGTATGTCGATACTTCGTTTGCTTAGAATTTTACAGACTCAGCTGTTTTTCCTTTAAGTATGCAATTCGTAAAATAAAAATGAAATCTCGTGAATAGTTATAAGCAATCTCGTGAGATCTTTTATCTCGAAGACGTACAGGCGCCTGGAAAAACAAAACGTAGCTTTCCCTGTTAGCCAACAGTGCAGTTGCAGCAAATGTGATAATGCTGTCAAGACCAATTTTTCTCGCTATTCAACAACAACAAAAAATCATCCTAAATATTGCATAATAACGTATATGGCACGGCTGTTGAGTTTATCGTGGAGGTTATCGCGGTATTTTCCGCTGTATTATATATGCTCTGTGTATAAATTCGACACGTGAAAAAATCGTGTTTTTATGGCACCACGCGTTGTCTTGTTGAGCATTCCTCTTGTGTTCTTTTTTTTTCCAAATAGGTCAGATTGAATGTTTTTTCATCTGACGCATTGCACATGATACATATAAGTGAATATGAAAAGTTTCCTTCGTACGTCATAAAATTGTTGAAAAAAAAATATTAGGATTCCACTCAATTGCAACTGAAGTGTAATTGACGGTTCGTTACTTCGATTGCTCAACCTCGAACTTGATTAAACTTTCTAAAGAGAGCTGTATAATGGACGGAATATTATTAAGCTGAAATGTAAACTTGATACATTTGCACTCTAAAACATTAGTTTCGTAACGATACGCTCTATTAGAAATGTAGAAAACAAGCATGCAAACACGCAGAAACAAAACGTGATTGAATAGATATTATCCAATACGTCCGAATACGAATAAAGTGACTTGCAGTGGAAAAGAAAGCATGAATTATAAAAGGACTGTAAATAGCTAACGACACGTGATTCAGTTTTGTATATTCCTATTACATGCTGTGAATGATACGCAGGATAACGGGACGGGGAATCGAACAAACGACATACCGGGCAAGTGTTAAGCGCGCGAGTTCGATACTCCTTGAATCACGTGATCCTTAGCGTCGCAAGCTCGATGAACATTAGCTGCGTGAGCGAGTGTCCGTAATCCGGCAATCGTGCACTCGTCTACATTCGCGGAGGATGGTCGCGCGCCGATAAGAAAATGGCGCCAACCATACGGACGGCGTGCAAGCTCGCCGGGGCTGGCGCGTTATTGTGGGGGATGCGGTGATTACGAAACAAGTGCTTTAATTAGAGTGAGACTTTTCGATAGCTACGCCGCGCATATATCGATGCGAATCATTGCGATATGCTGAAAGCCACTGCGGTACGACGGATGTCGAGAGCGAGCATGGCAGGAGTCCAATTAGCACGTGAGACGGAGAAATAGCGACGAGAATCATCCGAGGACAATTATTCGAGCGATTTGCCGTTATTAATTGTCGACCGGACAAACTTGACGAGCGCTCATTACGCAACTTTGCTTTGTGATATAGTGCTGAAAATGAGAGTCGAACGCACACACATTCAGTCGCACAATCGCTCTTCGACGTCGTCTGTTGTCCGACCTGCACAAACGATAATGTAGAGCAGGTCTCGGCGTTCCTCTCCGTGGATACTTCTCTGGCTGCTTGTGCGCGGCTATAAGATCAAGCTGACAATGCCGCACAGGGTACGAATTAGCTCGTTGCCGGAGAGGCAATCTATCAAGAAAGACAAAAGCGCGGAGAGCTGATGCACGCAAGCTGCGATCGAGCGAAGCACTGAGAGAGCGAATAAAAGTCACTTGCGTGGCTCGCAGCCAGATACGCGCGCGCGCGCGCGAAGTCGGGCACCGAAGGCAAATGAAAAATAAAACAGGCAGAGCGGCAGGGTTGAACGCCCCTTATTAAGGGACACACTACCTGCCGATCCCTCTTGTGCGTGCGCGCACGAGTGTGTCTGTGTGCGGACACGGCCGAATCTGCGAGGCAACTAAAAGGCCGAACTTGCGGCGCGGCGCTTCGAGAGCGCGCGTCGCTAATTTTAGCGAGCGCCCGCCAAAGAGAAACACAGAAATTGGACCTTCCGTCTCTCGCGCAAGCACGAGCGTTGCTATCGGTCGACCGTGCAACATCTCGCTTCGATGCCGTATCAGCGACGAGCCGCGGTCTTGTGCGCAGTCACGCTCGGCTGCGGCGAGACTTTGCGACGACTCCTTCGGCGCGTCGATCTTCGCGATCGTCGGATTTCCAGTATTCGCACGATTTCTTCGTCGTAGCTGCGCCACCGAACTAATGCCTTGGAAGCACTTCGCAACGATCGTGCAATGCAGTCGTTCCACTTCGATACTATTTCGCGAAAATTACTTGCAAGTATTTCGACTTGGAGCTGACGAGCCGACGACGCGATAAACGCGTGTGTTTTTCGCTCGAAACAAGTCAATCGTGCGTTCGTCTCCTTGAACCTCTCGGGCGGACGATCCAATCGCCAAGTGGAATCGATCCCAATTAAGGAATGCTCCGATTTTCTAAAGTCTTGCGTCGGCGACGCCTGCGATTTCGCTCGCGAAGACGCCCACTGTTATAACGGCAATTCCGACCCGCGTGCATTAATTTAGGCAATTCGAACGCTATCGCTATCGTTTCGGCGTCGATGCGCACGCTCGCTTCGCCACTGAGACGACGAGGCAGCTACCAAACGAAAAGAGTTACCGACCATCGTGCAATTAAAATATATTTCAAGCAGACGCGTCGCAAGCAGCCTCGTCAAAAATCACCTGGCACGTTGACATTTTCGGCGCATCGAAAAAATGTCTCTTGCTAAAAAAAGAAAAAAAAAAGTAAGCGCATTTATTTGCATAACAAGTCATCGAAAATTTGGCGAAGAGTGGCGTGATGCGAGAAACTTGAAATGCTAATCGAGCGGTTCCTCATTTTATTTGTTTGCTTTTTCGCGAAAGTCCTGATGCAAAAAATACTCACGACAACTTTCGTTAACGTCGGATGTTGGTCGGCCAGGCTGCGTTGAGTGTCTTTCAAGTTCACCTTCGACGTATGTATTGTATTATTATATAAATATACAGCGGCACTCGCGAAAGGAAGCACAAATCACACTGGAGTATAAATACGTACGAAATACGTTTGAGGTTCGCTCAGCAGCGCGTCTGCCGAGCTTTTAATCACTCGCGCGAGTAGGGTTGCAGTATCGCTTAGAACGAGTGATATTACCTCCCACTACTCTCTTTGCTCTCTCCCCCGATTGATGTACGTTCATCCAGAGTGAGAGTATCTTTACTTCTCTCTCTCTCTCTCTCTCTCTCTCTCTCTCTCTCTCTCTCTCTCTCTCTCCTTTTCTTACTCTTGTCGTTCGCTACATATGCCTATCAGACGACCTTTTCGTCGTATTTTACTTGGTATTTTCGTCGGCCATAAAGCGTGACGCTCCAGTTCAGCATATTTTTAAGCGGCTGTATAAGTTTACTGGCGTGACTAAAAATAATCGGCTTTACTAGGCAGAAAGTTGCAAATTCTCATTGCTTTGTGCCAAAAACAAATTTTTGAATTTTCTTTCGTACGCGCTGCAAATAAGTGTTGAAGTAGCGCGATTAAGTGCTCCGAAAGAAAGCAACAGAATGAAACATCGAGAGGCATAATTTCTTCTCTCAACTACACTAAAGTAAATCAATCGAAATCACGCAGCATGGAATCCCCGCAGAGAGCGCAATCGCCTACATACTCGCACATCCGAACATATATTCTCACGCGACTCCTTGCCCCGGCGATATATCGCAGTCTCTCGGCAAATAAAAAGGCTCCGTCGCAAGTGAGAGAAAGAGAGAGAGAGAGAGAAGTGGGATGAGGGTGGAGCTTAAACGTTGACCACCTTCTTTTCTCTTTTATCTTTTTAACGTGAGTGTATCTCGGGTCGAGATAATGATTTTGTTATAATTACGTATTTTAGTTCAACTCCTCCCCCTTAAAAAAAATGTTTTCAAGCTATCGTATTATAATCACAAGTTTGTTGCATAATGCGACAAAAGGTTTGTACGTACAGAAAAAAAAAACAAAACAAAATAAAAACGGAGATATATCCTATATTGCTCGTTGAACGACATTGAAAATTTGACTCTGATAACGATTATCGCTCCGTAATTATTGGCAATTTCGTCATACATACTCTTCGTTCGAAGTAAAATGTGCGTTCGAGGTAAAAAAAGGCAAGAGAGAAAGAGGACGAGTGAAGAAT